CCCACACCTTTTTTCAGCTGGGAGAGCTAGCTTGCACCTTCTTTGACCTAGGAGAACTAGCCCACCACACCTTTCATGAGTATTTGTTCTCAGAGCTTCCTCAAAAGTGGAAATGAAGCTTTTATACACTATACCTTAAGGAAAGGAAAAAGATCTATTTGTAACAAAGTATTTTTAGCAACATTTTTTTCTAATTGCAAAAAACTGGAAAGAAGCCAACCATCCAACAGTCAGGGAATGGCTGAATAAATTGTGGTTTATTAACAGAATGGACTATTAGTAGACCCCTATAAGTAGGGAGGGCCCATCAGAGCATTACTCCAAAGTGGTAACATCCAGGGGTTTTATTTTCTACACTGTTGATCTACCAGTCTATCCTGGTGTTTCACAGTCCTCTGCTGGTCTGTGGCACATAGTGCAACCCCATTCCCTCCTGTGTAACATGATACCTCTATAAAGAATATGAATATGGAAACATGTATATAAAGTGACACAGAATAAAAAAATTAAAACCAAAAGAGCAGTGTATGCACTGGTTACAACTATGTACGTAATAGTCATAATATGCAAATCTAGAAAATGTACCATCAATAAGGGGAAAGGAGAGGAGAAATGTAGACAGAAAAGACAGGTTTGATATGACTCAAATTTACATATTTTGTTACAGTATAAACAATGGAAACTTCTGATTTTTGTGTAAATTGTTTTTCTTTTGTTCATATGCTTTGAGGTTTCTGTTTGCTGAGGGTCAAGTTTATAATAAAAATATTATAATATTATTATGGTAACATTATAGTAAAAAATTATTTTTTTTAAAACATCCTGGTTTGGAGACGTGCCATTTAAAGGCAAATCAAACCCTTCTCATAAATAACCCAATGTGCTTCCGAAGACCTTCCTGCAGAGGGAGAGAGAAAGCAGGTTTGTGGCCAAAGACTAAAGTCTCTAACTCTAGTTCTCCAGGCTCATTCCATCAGAGTAAAGGTTATTTAGAGAACCCCAAGAATGTTAGAACAAAAAGAGTCTGCCAGACTCCCCTTTCCTTCCCCCTTCTAAAGATGCTCTCATTTAAGGAGGAAGTAGACTGTTATCTGCTGTGGATGTATACAAAGATCAAAACCTCAGGAAGGCATATGACTTTGAATTATAGCGTTAGACTGATCTTTAAAAGAATCATCTTTATCTCTAAGACAGTGCAATAGTTTTTTAGATTCCAAAGACCTGGGTTCAAATCCTGGGTCTGCTTCTTACTATGTCATTTAGGCAAGTCTTTCAATATTTCAGGGCAGCTGGGTAGAGCTGGGACTGGAGTCAGGAAGACCTTAGTTCAAATCCAGCCTCAGATACTAGCTGTGTGACCCTGGACAAGTCACTTAACCCTGTTTGCCTCAGTTTCCTCATCTATAAAATGAGTTGGAGAAGGAAATGGCAAACCAATCCCAGAATATTTGCCAAGAAAATCCCAAATGGGGTCATGAAGAGTTGGATACAACTGAAATGACTGAACAACGAGGACAACAACATATTTGATGTCTCAGAGCCTCAGTTTTGCAGGCTCTAAAAATGAGGGGATTGGACAAGATGAAATCTAAAAGTCTCTTCCAGATCTAAAATCCTATGAACTTCTTAGACCGACTGCCTCAGTTTACAGTTGGAGAAAATGAGAGAATTAACTTGTTCAAGGTTGCCTAACAAACGCATAGCAAAGAGCTATCTCGGTTGCAGTATCTGACCTATCGTCTGTAATTTAGGAAGGTCATTGGCAAGCTGGAAAGTGAGTGCCCAGAAGAGGGGCACCATGCTGGAGAAAGCCTCCCAGTTCATGCTCTATGAGCGTGGGTTGAAGGAAATGGGGATGGTTAGTCTGAAGAGAAGACTTGGGGAGGGAGGGGGGCAGGGAACATCTTGACTGCCTTCAAGTATCTGAAGAGCTATCATTGTGCCAGGTGGCACAATCCAAGGAAAGGTGGCATGGCAGTGGTTGACCAGGAAGAAGCATTTCTCTCTTGAGATATTTCCACTGCTTTGAGTTGTTTCTCTAAGGGTTTGTTCCTGGGAAGAAAATGTGTTTGTGGAAGAAAAAGTGGTTTATCCTTTAGCACTTGCACTAACACTGTCCCAAAGGCTGGGGCTCTTGCAGGAAACACAGAAATTCTCCTCTTTAGAACTTCCCCTTCTCAGTCCTGAGCCCCCTATTCTCTCGTTCAGACCTTTTCCCAGAAAACTCCAGCATTAAATGGTACTTAGCTCAGGGCCTTTAACACAGAGGGCCTTTCCTGTCTGCTGAATAGAATTAATTTAGTTGAATAAGTGCCGAAGACTTGCCAAACTGTGGACCTCAGCTACTACATTTTCTGTGTGATCATAGGCAAGACACAACCTCTCAGCCACAGTTTCCTCATCTGCAAGATGGGAGTAAGTTCTTTACAAATCTCAGAGGGCTCCAGAAATGTGAGTTGTTCATGCATTTGAGCAGAACAATCATGCCATGTGGTGGTCAAGCATATACTGTCCAGGATTGCCCCTATGGTATCACTGCACTCAAAGTTCCATTAAAAAAGAAAACTGTGTGTCCTATGAGTCTTATCACGAGCTAAAAAGTTTGAGGCTCTGACAGGGGTTATCACTCCTGCATCTCCTGGCTTGGCTCAGTTTCCTTCCTGGAAACAAAACAAGCTCGTTTAGCAGGGCTCTGGCTGGAATTTCTCTAATTGCACAGAGGGAAAAAAAAAGATATTTGGAGTTGCAGTCCCCCTCTCCCTGTTGTCACTGGGGACCAGGACTGAATCTTCATCCTGGAGACCTCCAAACAAGGCACTTAATCCCACAGCTATCTAAGAGAGGAGACCTTTCAATCCAGAGTGAATTGTGTGTCAACCTCAGGCAGTTTTGGAGGTGGGAAAAAGCATTCTCCAGTACTGACAGATGCTAGATCAGTGGTATCCAACTCAAATAAAAACAAGGGCCACTTTTTGGATCCCTTTTTGCCATATATTGACTCAGTTTTACAATGTACTGTTATCTGTGTTGTATTGTATTTTTATTTATTTTATTAAATATTTCCCAATTACATTTTAATCTGGTCCCTGAGGCACTTGGGAGTTTGTGTGGCTCAGTGTTTGACAGCCCTACTGGAGAACACAAAGACATTTACTCTGTTTCCACAATCAGATGCTATGTGACCTTGTCCCCTGTACCCGATCCTCTGCTGTAGGAAAACAGAGGGCTCTTGAAATCTTTACTGCAAAGTAGGCTAATCTCTAATGGGCATTGCAGAGCCCCACACTCCCAGAACCTCAGAGCCAGAAGGGACCTCAGTTCAAGGTATCTAGTTCAAGGTATGCATGAACTCTTAGAATCCCTTCTAAAACATACCTGCCAGGTAGTCCAACAGCCTTTACTGGAAGACCTCCAATGGAAGAGAACTCACTACCTGCCGGGAAGCTGATGGTCCACTTTTGGATAACTCCCAGAGCTAAGAAGTTTGTCCTTATATCATTCACCCTCTCCTCCTCTCTAGGTCTCCTGGTTTTCTCCTCCTATCTGTCCAACTGCTTCTTCTCCATCTCCTCTGCTGGAGCTTCATCTAGGTCTAATCAGGGCTGTCCCCCAAGGCTCTGTCCTAGGTCCTCTTCCTCTTTCCTTTTATTTTACCTTCTCTCATGATCTCATCAGCTTCCATGTATTCAATGATCATCTCTATGCTGATAATTCCTAGATTTACATGTTGTTTTCAGTCATTTTTCAGTTGCATCTGACTCTTTGTGCCCTTATTTGGGGTTTTCTTGGCAAAGATACTGAGTGGTTTGTCATTTCCTTCCCTAGCTCATTTTACAGATGAGGAAACTGAGGCAAACAGGGTTAGGTGACTTGCCCAGAGTCACACAAGTTAGTAAGTGTCTGAGATCAGATTTGAACTCACAAAGATGAGTCTTCCTGACTCCAGGCCCAGCACTCTACCCACTGAGCTACCTACCTGTCCTAGCTCCAGATCTCTATAGCCAGCCCTAATCTCTCTGCTGAGCTACGGTCACGAATTTTCAAATACCTTTTGGATACCTCAAACTGAAAGTCCTCTTAGCATCTCAAACTCAACTTCATGCGAAACGGAATTCATCTTTCCCTCCAGACCCTACTAAACGTCCCTATTACTGTCAAGGGCACCAGCCATCATTCCAGTCACCAAGGCCCACTTGTAACCTTGGTGTCACCCTTGACTATCCCTCTCCCTCACCAAATGCACCCAGTCCTTTGCCAAATGCTATCTTTTCTACCTTCACAACATTTCTCTTATAAGCCTACTGCCACATCTCTAGCTGGTCTCCCGGCTTCACATCTGTCCCCATTTGGGGACAATCTACCCTCCATTTGGTTTCTAAATAAAGTGTATATCTGACCATGTCACCCAAGCGTGTTTAAGGAATTCTAGTGGCTCCCTGTCACCTCCAGGATAAAATATGAAGTCATCTGCCATTTAAAGCTCTTCATAACCTGGTCTTTTGAGCCTTTAAAATCTTCTTCCTTTCCATATACTCTGTGATCCAGCAACACTAGCCTGTTTGTAGTTCCTTGAACACAACACTATCTCCCATCTCCATACACTAGTTGGCCCCCATATTGGAATGCTACGACCCTCACCTCTTGTGTCCTAGCTTCCTGGGCTTCCCTCAAGGCTCAGATCAAATCCTACTTTCCGCAAGAAGCCTTTCCTTGTTCTCCCACCCTTTCCTGCCCCTGCCTCCAAGCTACTAATGACTTTTACTTTCATACTACTACATTCACCTTTTCTGTACATATCATGTATATACCTAGATATTTACATGGTGTCTCCTCCAGTAGCAAATGTGTTCCTTGAAGCTGTAGTATGTGTAGCTGCCACACCCCAGTAAAAGTAGCTTGAGGGTAACAGACAGGCCTCAAACCTGTTGGTGAGTTAGGGGATGTCTACCCCAAGCATGTGAAGACTTTCTCTGGCAAAATGGAT